TCCTGCAAGCCAGAAAGCTAATTCACCAGTTGAGGATGATCCTACAAGCCAGAAAGTTGATGCACCAATTGAGGATGATCTTGAAATCGAGATGCAATAAATTAATGATATAATAGATAATTACACTGAGATTGAAGCTTCTGATGGTGGTGCAGTATCTGATTCTGAAGATGAAGATTATTTTCCAACTGGGATGAGTTCATCAGATGATGACCTATCTGAAGATCACTTTTCTGATGATGATGAATATGTTCAATCCAGAAAGAACATAAAGGAGTTTAAGAAGAAAGCACAAGATTTTGATGATTGTGTACCAAATGCACAACCAATGGCTAAGGTCTTTGAAGATGATGAAGTTTTACAAAATGCACTGATCTCTGATGAGTCAGATAGTGCGAGGGAAGTGGACTTAGATGGAAATTGTGTTCAAAGGAAGACAAGGTTGGTATATGATCCCAAGTGTTATCATAATTCACTTGAATTTCAGCTTGGCATGAGGTTTGAAAGCATTGAGCAGTGCAAGAGAGCTGTTAGAAAAGTGGCAATTGTGCAAGGTAGAGATGTACAAAATATTAGGTTTAACAAAAGGCAATTGGAAGTTAGATGTCAGGATGGCTGCCCTTGGAGACTTTATGCCAGTGTGATTGAAACAGAAGGCAGTGTGGCTATTAAACAGCTACATAAAGAACATGCCTGCCATAGAAATGTGCACACTAGACAACTCACTGCTCAGTGGATTGCAGAAGAGTTTGGTGAAAAGTTCAGAAGGAATCCAAGCATGTCAATTTCACAATTGGATGAAGCCATTTCTGACAAGTATGCAGTGCAACCTACAAAGTGGAAACTTTATAGAGCAAAGTGAAAAGCCCTTGAATTGCTAAGAGGGTCTGTCATGGATCATTACTCTCATCTCATAAGTTATATGGCCGAGCTAATGAGAGTGGATAGAGAGGGGAAGTTTGAGTTCTTACTTGGGGAAAATACTAGAGGCTTCTATGTGGGTTTTAGTGCTCTAAGAAAGG